TATAGGGAACAGGAAAGTAGAAAGTTGCCAGGCAACCATCCATTAGCAGCCAAATCTTCATCTAACTTTCCAATAATTCTCCATTTAGATAAGGAAAATTTATTTTAGTTTATCCAGATGATCTGTCAGTTTAGAGTGTGTTTAAAAATGTGTGGGGTCCCAGTTTCTTGTGTAATTAGCAAGAAAAGCTGACAAAACCAAAATACAGTTAAGTACAACTGACATGGAAAGGGAGTGGAAGACTTGAAAGTTCAAGAATATTTACCCGACTATATTCCAGACTCCAGATCTGAGATCATCAAATCAACAAAACTATTTCAGTTCTTTCAAGGGCATTATGGTTTACAGAGGACTGAAAAAGACACCCTCAATTGCCACTCACAAGCTTTTTTGTTCTTCACTACTCCATCTTCTTGTTCATTCTTTTCCTTTTCGATGTAGCAACATAGTTAGTAGAACTGTGGAGAACTGCCATTTTACTTACGCCAGCAATCCGAGAGGTTCCAAGCAATAAAATGAACTATCAGTATATCTTGGGGGGAAGAGGGAGGAGTGAAATGTAACTTCTTTTTTACACTTGGGATATTAGTCTTGTACACAGCTTTTTTTATAGAAACATATCTTACACAGATCCAACAGACCAGAAGAAAATTATCAGAAACCTTCATTTTGAAATGTTATAGTATGTGAAGATATATATATATTAAATACTGTAGGCTGTTTTATCATTACTTGTTTTACTTTTGTGTCCTTGAATTTCAACTTTTTTTTTTTTTTTGAACTAACTTGCAAGCCTACTTCCTTAAGATTGAAATCTGGAAGCTCTAATATTTATTACAGTCAATGCTGCCAAAATACAGTGTTTTTTGAATTAGCCTAGAGCTTATTCAAACATACATTGTTTAAACTCAAGTGTTTTTACAAATAAGAGAAAAGTTAGGAATATTTTCTGATTTTTACATTGAATTTCCACGGTGCTATTTATTAGAAATTAAATTAATCAGTGTAGTCTTGTGTTACATGTGCAAGATGCTTGGTTTTGAGATTTTTTTTTTCTAATTCTTTTTTTGAGTAATCTTTGCAAGACTTATGGAGGCTTTAGTATTGACCTTTATAAAAGATATTAGTGTTCTCTGGAAAGCATTTCTCTTCTGAAAGTGTGAGGTGTTAGGTACCTTGTACAAGATATCTCCTTCCATCCAACATTCTGTCAATCTTCCATATTTTTAATTTCCCTGAAAAACAAATTTATTCTGGAAGATGTGAAAAGCATCAGGAAAGTGAGTATTCACTTAATCCATTACAAGTAGATTTTTTAAATTAACTTGTATTGTGCTGCATTTTAATATATGGTTATTCTAGATACTGTAACATAGTATAAATTTTAATAAATGGTTGATATAAAAGGCGTGACACTTTTACAAAATTAAGATGATTCAATTATTGCCCTTAGTTTACAGTTTTCCAAATGATATTTTGATTGCTAAAGGGGAACTTAGTAGCCGATGTTGTTCTCCACCATAAGATGTTTCTCCCTGTAAACAAAAACATGTAGAAGACATGTGAGGACATGGTCTGGAATGGAATGTCAGAGGCAGAAGCGTATCTCCACAGATAGGCAGTAGGCAAGGCCTGTGATTACAACCCAAGAAGGCCAAATGTGCTTGTTTCTATGCAATGGAATAAAGTGTAAAATATTCTGAGGACAAAAATTGTTGTAATAGTTACTGTAATTTGCCATTGGGCTGGAGGATGTCCATGACCACAAGAGGCAGTTTGCTTTAGTATTGTGAATACCTTTTCCAAAGGTGGAAGAACAGTAGATTTCTTGGCTCTAATTCCACTCTAGATACTAGGAGGAAGCAAAGTCATCCCAGCTGGAAAACTATTTTCTTCTCAGCCCACCAGAAGACAGACAAGACAAACAAGACAGACTCTATCCTTTATACTGGCCACTGAGCAGTGGCTCTAAAAGAAGGTGACCCCTAGTGATTTTCAGTATCTTTGCCAAAAGCTGTTACTTATTTTCTGCTGGTTGTGGACAACCATAGTTCCAGGTCCAGGTGGGTACCTACTGTCATTCCAGTCCTATCTCTCATTTGTATTATCACTAGGCAATGTGTTCAGGGACTGAAAATTTTCTATTCATCAGCATCATAGAAATGTGTAAGGAAAACAATTGTATGCCCTATTCTAGACATTCATTGAGTTTCTGGGAGGATCCATTGATTCAACTAACACAGCTTCTGAGGTTCACTTCATTTACACATCACTTGCTACCACATATGTGGGAAAGGCAGGTTTGAAAGCAGTATATATCTGTATATTGAGGGCATCATCCCTCTTCTGGTTTTTATCACCACAAATAATGCATTTTTTCTACAGTAGGCTCATGCTTGTCCTCCCTTCTTTCCATAACTGACTAGTTCTTCCCCTCCAAGAATCTTGAAGAAAACAGTGTGTCAGGCTTTAATAACAAATCCTGGCATCAGGGTAGCCCAGCACAGACTCTCTGATGGCACTCCAAATAAAGCTGGGGCAATGGCAGCTATCTGGTGATGATACTTTTCATGGAAGTCTCACTCCCTTTGACATGCTAGTATGCTATCCATACTGTCTCTCTTGCATAGTCCTCAAAGTTATTTGTCTTCAGATGGTATAGGACCAGTCTTATTGGAATAGAGCTCTTAGCTCTGAACTGAACTAAGAAATAAAGTGTTAAAAGTGTAAAAATTCATGCATATGAAGGAGAAGGCATAGCGTCAAGTGTAAGTAAGTTTATTTCTGTGGAAACATTGTCAAACGTGGCATAAGTCTGCAGTGAAGCTGAGCAGTAAGAAAAACTGGAACTCATGTATAGATCAGGAGAACATGGGGAAAGAACATGGATGAGGTACCACGCAAATACGGCAACATACGAGGCTAAGAAATAGATGGGTTGAGACAGGAAAATATTTTATTCCTCACAGCAGAGTTACTTAGTATTGTGAACTTAAGTGAACAGTATCTCTGGATCATAGAGGATGCCAAAATAAATATTTGAGAGCTGTTTATCTTTAATCTCATGCAAACAAATGAAAGACAGATCTCCTTTCCTTTTCTCAGGGCCTCGGACAGCAAAGGCTGTCTTTTCTACCATGAAATACTTTGCAATAGATCTTTAAAAAATGCATAAACCAAACAGTTATAAACAAAAATATATACTTCCTTTGTCATATTAACTTGGATTCTATTTCTTGACCATAGGAGTGGTTCTGGACAGTTTCTCCTGGATATTCAAGAAAAGGTTAGCTAACAGAACAGCCCACATTGGAATCTCTTAAAGACCCTTAGTTCAGCTTAGAAAAAGGCTTTTCCCTGGAGGCCTTGTCAAATATATGGGTTGAAGTATGAATTCTGGGATTTTCCTGGTGCTGTAGTAAGTTCTTTTCTTATTTCAGGAGTTCTGCACAACCACATTTCTTTGCAAGTTCCCGTGGAAGCTGCAGATTTGACTTGCTGCCTCGAAAGGCTAGCTATGGACCTTCATAAGATCACCTTACATATTTTACCTGGATTTTATCTGGTTCTCCTTACCTGTAACCAAAGGAGGGGGAAAAAAAAAGTTTTCTAAAGAAAAACCCACTGAGTGGGTTGAGAGTAGCCTTGAGGAAGAGGGCTTGGATGTGTTGATAGATGAGATGCTCAACATGAGCCGGCAGTGCGCTCATGCAGCCCAGAAGGCCAACCGTGTCCTGGGATGTATCAAGAGGAGTGTGGCCAGCAGATCAAGAGAGGTCATTCTCCCCCTTTAATCTGCTCTTGTGAGACCCCACCTCAAATACTGTGTCCAGTTCTGGTGTCTCCACCATAAGAGGGACAAGTTCAGAGGAGGCCACAAGGATGATCGAGGGGCTGGAGCACCTCTGCTACGAGGACAGGCTGCAGGAGCTGGGATTGTTCAGTCTTGAAAAGAGAAGACTCTGGAAGGACCTTATCACTGCCTTCCAATACCTGAAGGGAACCTACAGGAAGGCTGGGGAGGGACTTTTTACAAAAGTGCCCACTGATAGGACAAGGGGAAATGGATTTAAGTTAAAGGAAAACAGATTTAGATTGAGTCTTAGGAAAAAATTCTTCAGTATGAGGGTGGCAAGACTCTGGAATAAACTGTCCAGAGAAGCTGTGGATTCCCCCTCCCTTGAGGTGTTCAAGGCCAGGTTGGATGAGGCCTTGAGCAACCTGGTCTAGTTGAGAGACGTCCCTGCCCACAGCAGAGGGATTGGATTCGATGATCTCTGAGGTCACTTCCAACCTAGGCCATTCTATGATTCTGTGAAGTATCCTAGGAGGTAGTATTGTGTGACTGCTGAGAGACTTCCCAGCGGCAAAATTGGGCTCCTAGTCCTATTTCCTATTTATACAAAGAAGAACTGGCTTGTTGGCCTGAATTACTGCCCTCAAGACACATGAAGTGTTTAAGTGTCACCTAAAAGATGAGTACCCTGCATCACACACATATAGGTTTTGTAGTACTAAATACGTGGAGTGGTTTGATCTTGGTATTTGCCGAAGGTATGTTAAGGCAGTGCTTTTTGTGGCCTGGGGATGATCCAGCTTGAGCCCAGTTCATCTTTTTTACAACCATATTGCCTGAGGAGACTCAGTTTAACCTGTGCAGGCCAGCTGTTATACCAAAACTGAACCAGTTAAGCAAATGGAAAACGGGTGACTGAGAGCCTGAGTTAAAAAAACAAGACATGAAATATTAATACAAACAGAAAATCAGAGAAGAAATGGTGATACAGGTAGCACTGTGGTTGGGACAGACACATTCTTTTTTTCCTAATATTTATGCTTAAAATTATTATATAAATAAGCATTTTTTTCATCTGCGTATTTGATTTGGTATGTTACCAAAGGCCAGATAAGTAAAAGGCTGCCAATTATAGTTATAAAAAGTAGCAGCAGAATGAATTAATGCTTAGGAGATTTCATAACTGTCTGTTTCCCTTCCATAGCTATTTTCTGCTGGAAAAATCACAGGCATCACAGTAGCTGAGCTGAAGGGAAAGTACACCCTGCTGCATAAGACTGTGATAAGGTATAATATTCCATTTTTAGACTTTATTTAACTAGCCAAAGCATTACAGGTTTAAAGTCATTATCTGTTATCTGTTGAAGCTTAATTATCATTTCAGAATTTCTTACAGTGATTGTTCATAAAGAGGAAACAAGAACACAAGGTTGAAAACCAGTATTATTTAATAGAAACTTTCCAGGTAATTTGTGATATTTAAATACGTGTTTGAACAATCTCTTTGTTTTTAACATAAACATAATAACAATGGCAATGGAGGAAGCACAAACTGCAACAGGAAATGTGCAAGTTAAAAATAAATATATATTTGAAGATCATGGAGCCAGAATTGTAACACAACAAGACTCTGACATGCTGAGCTACTGAGGAGAGCAACTGATGAAGCTAATGGCTCATTTTTAAGAAGGAGAATGTGACTGTCACATCTAAATAGGTGTAAATTTTACTCTCTGAGAATATTGACAGTCACATTAGGCATGACTGCTAATTTATTTAGAAGGGTACAGCTTTAAACTTCGAATTGTAAATGAAACTCAGAAGTGTAGTAGTTGTGAGTCTGCCCTGCTCCAGTACTTAGTGGAGGAGAGAGAAGAGATCGTGCTCATAACCCCGAAGGATCATGCTCATAACCTGAAGGCTGGCTTTGGAGCAGGACACGTGTGAGCAGAAGGAAAGAGGAAGGGACAAAGTGGGACACAATACTGCACTTGTATTAGGTGAGCAGTGTCTCACACAACAAACCAGTCCTATTGCACATTTCATAATACTACATTAGTATTTATGAATAGCAATTTTTATATTACTTACGGTATACCCATAATTATCAGTAAAATCAGCGTCACGATATTGCCAATGTAACGGCCTGTTACAATCCTGTAATACGCTCCATAATACCCACCTTATTAACAATATTTTATCTTGATTTCCCTGAGAGTCCACATCAAAACCTTTATGGCAATTCTGCTTGTAAGAAAACCATAGCTATTCTGTCATTTAATTTAAGGATCCTAAAACTAATTCAGGTCATACCTGCTTACATCCTGCTGGGACTTGATGTACCTCCTGGCACAAGTGCTAAGTAATTTGAAAAGGGGTTTCCAAAATCCTGAAAACACAGCTTTTCTTGAGGTTAGCTGAGTTTTCTAGTTTCATCTTAATAAAATAGGGAATTAGAGTATGGCTCTGGCTGTAAAAAGTCATCTGACTTTATTCAGATTACTGCATAGCAAATATTTTTGGAAACCAAAATTAAAAGCAGCACTCCTAAGCTAGTTCAACTCCCTGGAAAATGCAATCTTAATGCTCAGAACTAAGCATGTGCATTTTGGACTAGTTGATTGAGGAGGTTACTACCACACCAGCATTCACTGAGCTGAAGTAAAAATCCAGTAGCTGCTGAACTAGCCAGTGTTAGTCTGAAAACAGTCTCTGGTTGGAAAACATAGAAACATATTGCTACATATTTTAATTATATATTTTTATATAGCACTCTTTTATGTAGAATATTCTTTCATGTGAAGACAATTCCTTTGTATGGATAATAAGTGAAATATGGCTTGAGTGAAAACAGGACTCAGCTGTCTTTTCCGTCACACATAAAACCACTGTAAACATCACGCACCAAAAGCATAAAAATGGTAGATGGTAGATTACATCTCTCATTCTTTCCATGATTCTTATGGGAGTATGAAATTGCCATACTTCTGTAAGAAAGCCAGAGAGAATCTTAGATGTAGTCATGTGTCAAAGCAAAACACCAATCCATGAACAAATGCTAATTCCCATAGTTAAGTCTTTCTTTTTGCTAAAAGAAACCAAGGGAGATCAACTACCAAAAATTGATTGTGATCTCCAGTAAATTTCAAGGACTTTTCAGACATCAAAAGTGGGATTCATTTCTCCATGTGGTAACATCAGTAGACATGGACGTGGGAACTAGTATCTAGAGTCCTTTAACAGTCAACATAAAGAACTGGGGACAACACACTTCCTCCTTATACGGACATCTGCAAGTGCCTGATTTTCTTCATTGGCTATAAAGAGTCCTGATGGCAGGTTCACTATGTGTGAATACTCTTTTCCTGCAATGAACCATTCACAGAATCAGTACTACTTTTTAATTTTTAGTTCTTCACCTTTATAACTGCAGATCAAGAGCTTATTTTTTACTTTACAGTTAAATTTAATTTAAATTTACAGTTTAATTTAATCTCTTTCCCAATTAATTCCCATCTGTCCCAGTGCTGTGACATGTGGAAACAAATGACACTGGAAGATGTCTTCAGGCTGTACATGTTCTTTTCTCCTTAAGTTGCATTCAAAAATCTCAAGGATAAAGTCTTGTGCATCTTAAGCAGCATAGATCCCTGTAACAGCTGTGCCAAATGATTGCAATTGTTCTCTCTGATATAGAATACAAATTTGTCTGATGCGATAAATGCAACTAGTCTGTATGCTGATAATTTCCAAGGCTGTTGCTAGAGTACAAAGTTATAAGTGCATAGTGTGGTCCTTTGTTTAGTAATATATAGTCCTTTATTTCGTGATTTCAGTTTTGCATTCTGGCATTCTGGAAAGCTGAGACAGAACCTGACAAACAACATCTTTGATGCATTTCTTCAAAGTGTTATGTGCGTTTGAATTTACATTTGCTGCACAGCTGGAATGCTGAGAGCAGGCTGTTCTGCTGTTGTCTCATCCGTGGACTTTGCACTGAGGCTGCACTTAAAGCTGCTGTACCTGAGATCATATTTGGCCTCTGAAAACACATTTAATCACACAATCACATGTTCTGATTGTAAATTTTTATTTTTATTATATCAATTCAGGAGCCTAATATGAATATAATATACACCAAGCTGTGAGAAATCCAGGTAATAATGGTAGTTAATTTTCTGTTTGAGAGTCTTACCTCAATTTCTCAATTGTCTTCATTTAAATTTAAATCTTCACATGAAAAAATACTATTGGCAACCACAGTGAGCAAGACCTGGTCTAGATTCAACACTCAGCTCTTGTTCCCATTATTATTTTCTTACTATCTTGAAAAAAGCAATATTTAGAGTTTTATTTTTATTGAAGAACTTATGTGTTTATGTAAATCTATGTAAAAATTATGTTTTATGTTTTATGTAAGAATTATGTTTGAAATTAACATAGGTTACTGCAGCCAATTATATGTACTGCTAAAATAACATACATTCTGTTGGACTTGAAGAAGATCTAAATATTGTATAGGATCTTATGTCAATAAGTCATTTTATTTTTCCTTTACAATGTTATTATGTAAACCATCACACATGAAGTTATTTGTTCGTGATAAAGGCACACTCTTGTTTCCTGTTGAAGTCTGTGGTTTTCTTATTTTCTATCTTAAAAAAGGAAGTGGTTATCTACATAGAAGTGTTACACAGAACAAAACTTTTTTTTGCTATATTATTTCAGCTATGTTTTTGCAGTATAGTCAGTTGTATATTTTGTATTTTTATAGTTACCACCTCAACTCTATCCTTCAGTGTGATACATAATTTCATCTTTGTTGCTAAGCCATAAATGTCATCTTTGAGCTAAAATTTACGTAGAGTTCATCAATAGGGAAGATTCTAAATTCCTTTAGATATCTTTAGATATTACATTGCATTATATTTTTAATGAATGCAAGTGATAGAGTTCTTTATTCTTCCACGTAATTTGTGACTAATTTTAGTATACCATTACACAGAAGTTATAATGTAGTAAAATTAAGAAGGCATACACAATTTCTATAGCATAAAGAATAGGTTTATGTGTTGTACATTGTGTATGAGTTTTCACACTGTTTTCCCCTTAAGACTTTCTCATAATAATCGATATATTTTACTAACAACCCTTAAGATCTGCTATTCAGCTGTCACCACAGAGGTTCCTAAGTACAGTCTCTTAACACTGATAGAGTATTACAGTTTGTTGTCTTTGTGAAGCTAGACAAGTCAGGTCAGATAAATGATCACATCTACAAATCTTGTAATACGCTTCCACAGAAGTCCATAAATGTGTTCTCAGCCTGTGTAGCATTTACTGAGTTACTTCAGATACTGGTAACACTACATCAATAGCAACATACCATTCAGCACTGGGTAGGTGTCACGGTATTTACTAGTTGCTTAAAGGTGTTGTAGAGCCCAGACTGGGCCATGTCCCCGTGAATACTTCCCTGTTGTTGGTCCCCATGCTGATGTGGGTCTAGCCTTCAGCTCTTGTTAGGGTAAAATGTATTCCCTGTCTTCTTCACTAGTTCTTGGAGGTCCTAGAGCTGTAAATTAGACTAATGAACCATCTTTTATCTGGTTAAAATTAGATGAGATTAATCCCACTCCAACTCTAGGTATGTAGGAAAAAACTCCTCACTTGAGATTCCACTGCTCTCATGGCACCATGGCACAATTCAGATTTGAACAGACCTCAGCAGATCTCTAGTCTAACCTCCTGTTCAAACCAGGGTCAGCTAGGAGGTCAGACCAGATTAAATATTATAGGTAGATAAAGAAGTATAAATACAAAGATCATGCTTCTCATTGCCTAGTTCTAAATTTTTCTTTTTAATGTAGTTTACAGGAATCTGAGATCCAGCTGTTGCAGGAAGCCAAACGTCTTAGTGTAGAACTGGAACAGCAACAGCATGAACTGGAAAAAGCAGAACAGTTCCCTGAAGAATCCTCCAGTGAAGTTTCCCGAATAAGGCAACAACTGCTTAGTTGCCAAAACGAATACAATGCTATTAAAGAAAGAGAGTATGAAATCCAGTCCAAGGTGGAATGGTAGGTGACAGTGGTCAAATGCTGCTAAGTTTATCACAGTTTACTGAGACAGATATTGGCAAAGAATATAATTCAATCTTCCCTCCGTCTTACATGGACACATTTCCTGACTGTTGATAAACAAATTGCCACAAACCTTCCCTAGTAACAGCAACATTTCAGTGACCACCCTGGTGCAAGATTTGCAGATAATTTTGATTTTAGAGCATGCTATGCTGTTCTTTGTTCTTTACAATTTACTATATTGCATGATTAATGTTTGTGTAGGCAAAAATTAACAGGAACAATTCTAGTATATCACACCTTTAATACGAAGGATTAAAGTGTCTCAGAAAGCTGGAGACTGGGATTTTCTGGAAACAATGTGATAAATAGACCCTGGGATTTTATGGAAACAATGTAATAAATAGACCCAGTGCTATTTTAAACATGAGAAGCACAGTGTATTCGAGCTTTTCTATTCAGGAATTTAAAGGAGGAGAATTACTTGTATATTCTTATGTCAGAAAAATGAGAAGCTGGCTGTGAAAAAGGTGAATACTTGACATTTCTATAAAAGAAAAGAAATTCAGAATAATCCTGTTATTGTATATATTTTAATGGTCTGCATAGATGAGTGTGTTGTCCTTGAAGTTTTTATAGTAAAATTTGAAACAATACTACTGCATTTTTAAAAATATGTACCTATGGGGATGAACTTATATTTTCATTTTGTGGGCGCTCGCTCTTTTTACGCATCTTCAATACAGTTGTGGTATAGTTGGTATATATACAAATAAATATTGTCAGCATCTCACCAGTTAAAACTTATTTTTCTGCGAAGGAGAGCAGGGGCACTGTATAAACTACGCAGAACAGATTTTTCTGGCAGTTTTTTTTAGAGTCAAGTGTTTGCTCTAAGAGAGAAAGAAACTTGAGAAAGGAGAAAATTGGGAGTGAGAGAAATAAAGAAACATGGAAAGCATCTGGAAAAAATTATTTGCTATGAGATAACTAAGCAACATGATGTTTCCTGAAATAATTATTAAATACAGAACTCATTGCAATTTCCAAGCAGTCCAGAAATGAGCTCTTCAAAATATCATGCTTTTTACCCATTTGTCCTCATATCTTATGAACAGTTTTCACTAATTTTTCATCACTTTTCCAAGAAATGATGGGATTTTATATGTTTAGGGGATATATACTTGTACTGTATTTTCTACCTGTAGTCAAAAGGGGATTTCTGTCCTATGAAAAATGCAGTTTAGGTATAGTTTCAATTACCCTTGCACATTTACTGCTTTAATTTTTATATATGAATTGAATATCCTATCTTGTAGATTAAAAATACATTTTTTTGGGTCAGTCATACTGTGAAAAATGTTCTTTGACTTTAATAAGAAACTTCCTGTGTTTGGTCTTATGTATTGAATGAGATCAAACCCAGCTGTACAGACTGACCAGAGGTCCATATGGCACAGTATCTAACAGCAACTAGAAGTGCAGCCCCAGCCATTTCAGACACAGGGATTTCATGGGCCAAATACAGTCTGTATTTAGGAATCCTCAGCTGACCTCTCTTCTTTGACCTTCTCCTGCCAACCATATAAACTTCTGGCATTGCAACACCCTGAGCAATAAGTTCCACAGAATAACTACAAAAGAACTGCTACCTCCTTTCTTTTTTTGAACCCGACTTCCACCAGCTTCATTTCATGCTCTGTAGTTCTTGGATAAGACAGTGAGCATCTGACCTTCTACATTTCTGCTGCTGCAGGATGGTTTGATAGATCTCTCTTGTCCCCATCCCTCTCCCTTAATTCATCAACTTTCTTATTTAATTTTATTTAATTATTTAAATTTTTTTGAATATGCTTCACGCCTGGTGGTATTTGGATCTTATGCATGTTCTGAGTGTGGAGTGAGGAGCATGTGCCTTCGTTATGTGTGGATTTGTTTTTTGGGATAGAAGATACTGCTTTCCGGAAGGGACAGGGATTCTAATGTTTGAGTAGTGTAGAATGAACAGGACTGGCAGAATATATACCCATATGGGGAATGGATGAGTGAATGTAGTGAGGAAATGAGAAGTGTACTATGAAGAAAACCAGATGGTGGATGTGAATGAAGGAGTGGGTTTGGTACCTGTGACACAAAGTGAAAATGGATGTCCAGAATAGTTGTGACTAGCAGGTGATCTAATAGTAGCACTAATGTAAAATGAAGATCTATATGCCTGATAGTTTTACACATATAATAATGCAATGCTATTATTATGCATGTTGGGTGACAGAGCACTGGCACAGGCTGCCCAGGGAGGTTGTGGAGTCTCCTTCTCTGGAGACATTCAAAACCTGCCTGGACGTGTTCCTGTGTGACCTACTGTAGGTGATCCTGCTCTGGCAGAGGGGTTGGGCTAGATGATCTTTCGAGGTCCCTTCCAACCCCTGACATTCTGTGATTCTGTGATATCTTCTGAAATAACTGTGTGCATGGGCAGTGTCACAAGGCAGAGGGGAATCTGCATCATTGTAAGTTTGCTGTTAGGTGACTGCTTGGTTTCCTTCATTTCTCAAAAGGACAGAAACTCATTGTCCAACCTCTCTTGGCCCCTGATGTCTCTAGAGCACAGTTTCCCTTGTTGTCCAACTGTGCTAATACAGTCCCAGCTGTGCTTGGCACTTACAAGTAAACTTCTCTTTGGGAATTATGACTAATGGCTCTTTAGTCTGAAAACAAACATACTGCTTATTTACTTTTATGTATAGCGGGCAGGGAATTTGGAGAGGAAAAGCTTTTGAAGGGCATATCTGTGTATTTTGTCTATTGCTGTATCCTTTTTGTAGAAGTCGTGTCTATTCAAATACTGCTGAACTGAAAGTAAGGGAGAGCCTCCAGATCTCCTGCTTCCCTGTTTCTGTAATTCTTTCTTCAAAGCATCTTTCCAGTCTCTGCTGTCTTTTCTTCCTGCTTCAACTCACTTTGTCTGATAGCTAAGGGCATTCAGCACCCTTTGGGCATTCAGATTCAAATCAGACAACAGTAAACGTTTTCTCTTGAGAAGTCATATAGATATACCATAATGTTAGCAAAGCTGGTTTTAATCTCAGGATCCCTGAGCGTTCTATGTTCTTTTCCATATTTCATTTCCTATTTGCTGGATTTTGTAAACATTTTTTTCAGCTGTTTTTCAACAGCTGAAGGTGTTATTTCATCTTCTGCTTTAATTCTTTACTGTTCCAAGAGTAAATTTAATTGCTTTCAGCACTGTACTATCAGCAGGTTTTCGGCAACATTGTGACGTTTTTCATGGCTTGAATAGGTTCATGAGGTGTTCAGAAGCAGCTCTGATGCACTTCAGCTGTTTGGGAGATGATGACATGGTGCGATCTCCTTCGCTGTAGGGGTGTGCCTACTCTTCCAGTGTGTGCTCCTGTTCCGTCGCACAGTTGCGCTGAGTTTGTTGCCAGTGTGTCTGCCCAAGTGCTCAGCACAGGAGGGGAACAACAGTTGGAAAGACTTTGCTGAGGTTGTAAAGTTTAGGCCACTACCCCAAAATCAGAGCTGACTCCAGGAATATTCTTCCTCTCAAAAATCTTTTAGGCAAGTATAACACAGTAAAAGGAAAAGCAGTGATCCCAATTCAGTTCTGGTACAATTGCATTCACAGCCATGAAATTTCTTGCTGTAACTGGAACTGAACAAGCCTCAGTGAATAGGATTATAGACCAAAAAATCAGGTTAGAACCAGAACAAGGGAAAGATCAATGTGATCAGCAAGGATTTGTTCTAGCTTGAGGAAATTTTTCATTTGAATCTTCATGTGAGGCTTAGAGTCCTGGTTTGTGAGGTAAAATAAAGAAAAGCTACTTTTCTTTATGAGGCAATAGTATCAAAATAGCTTATTATTGAGAAATAATAAATATATAATCTAAATTAATTTATCATCTACACCATGTTTTTTAAAGTAAGCAATTAATTTATAATGCAATTTTCTATAACAAGTGTTTGCGAGGTTAAAGGTGCCCGATTGTTGTAAGCAATTTTAGTTTAAGCCCTGGGTCCAGTCTAGAGCCCTCACAGTCATTCGTGCAGGTAGCAAAAGGGTATTCACTGAAGTACTGCATGATGTTCTCTGCAATTTGGGATTGCAAAACTGAGTTTGTCCTTGTAGGAGCATTGCAAACATGGAAAATTATTTCAATGCTTGTAATTATTTCAGGATTAGTCACTCAATAATTAAAAACTGAAAAGCTAAACTTTTGTCCATAATTTTTCTAATAAAGAATTATGAGACATAAGTAAAACAAATTGAGTTACAGTTGAAGGTGGTGTCAGCTAGTCTTGTGACTGCATGCTCTGGTGCACAGAAATTAATTACAGCCAAGAGCCTTACGTGACTCTCATGCTGGCAGCTTGTCAGCTGTGATGTCTTCTATTTGTGATCACTAGATTTTAGCTAGGAGATGCTGAGCACCTTCTGTGAATTCCTCAGCAAACCCAGCTATGTGTCAGACCAGCTGAAGGAGTTCGTTTTCTTGTATGATGGGATTCGTAATGATAACAATGTTCTGGCTATTTTCTGAGCTAAGGAACTGAAATGGACCTCTGTTGACAACTACCACTATGTTTCTCAATATCTCTGACCTAATTTTTTTTATTTCTGTGTCAGTTTGCAGCTGTAGACATCTCTTAGGGAAAAGTCTGGAAAGTATTTTCATTAAAGGTCCAATTTTCCAAGTGTTTTTCTAACTCATTACATCTGCATCCATAATAGCTTTTCATGTACAGTACTGCTATTAAGCTGCATGAAAGTAAGTAATATACAAAATATTTACAAACATTAATGGTTATGAGTTTCGTCTTTTTGTTATGTATATTGTTATAGGTTTAATGATTATAATAACAATCATATGTATTAAAAACACACTCATCAAAGGGCTATAGAATGATGAGAATTATAAAAGCCTTGTGCCAGTTACAGCTATTTCATTTGCTGATGTGATTGATGCTTAAGTATTTTGTAGGCAGTCATGGGGCTGATGTCTATATATCACAGATTACAAGATTCAAGTGTTAAATGGAAAAAACAGATTTTCTCCACCTACATTACATTATTTTGAATTAATCAGCTTGGTCTCCCTTTAGAGTCAAGAGATAAATATGTTCTCTTCAATGGGTAATTTATCTCTCCCTAAAACTGTCACCTGCAATGTCAGATGACCTGCCCTTTGGAGGTTCCTGGTTTTATCCCTGACAGTAAGGAGGTCTGCGGATGTTAGCACAGCAGTACCTGTCTAATTTTTGGATACTTTTTGGACTAAACTCGTTGCTTCAGAGAGGGAAATTTAACTTCTTTTATCCCCTTTTTCCTTCAACGCATTCACTGTTTTTTGCGGGGAAGGAGTTGAGCTGCCAGCTCCTGAGGTAACTTAGTGCTTGCCATTCAGTGTTGCCTTTGGTTATGCCACAGAAAATGAGGTGTTCAAATCATTTTACTTTTACTGGGGTGGAAAAGCCTTTGTTGTGAAGCTGGAATCACTCCACAGGAATCTGTCCTCATGAGTGAGGAATGTGACTAAAGAAAAAACAGTCAGCTTTGCTCTCCCTCCTGATTTTTGGGATTGTTCCTTTGATCGCCTGGCATGCTTTTAAAGAAGGCACAGCACAGACTGATGATGAGCAATGCAGTACCTCTTTAATCAGTTTGCACAGGACTTATTTAATCAGGTTTTGTGGCAATCAAACAGTTATGGGTATTTGTGCAAAATGGACATTCATTACAATTAATGTGATTATGCCAGTCCCAAGGACTTCAGCTAGGAATCCTGCCAAAATGTGTTGAGAGGATGAATTGTCATTATAAAGTGTTTATAGATTTAGACAGCCTGTTGGTAAGTACAAACATTGTGTTTGATCTACATGGATTTCCAACACAATATACTCAGTTACAGCTTAGGGACACAGTACGCAGGAGCAGACCAGAGCTGCTATCACAGAATCGAAGTAGTAGCTGAGTTTATAAAGTAGTCTGACCTCTGTGCTCTCCCTCATTGACTTCAAACAGTGGAACATAAAAGGATTAGTTTCTGAGCCCTACTGCAGCAAAGAAGGAATCACCTTATGGTGTTTCCTTCTATTCACATACTTGCCATGAACACTTGCAAAATGTGTCTTTCTTCACTCTTCTGTGCATTTTCTTAAGTTAAAATAGATTTTGCTATGGAACGTTTTCTCACAATTCAATTAACAAATTTTTAGAAAAGACTGATCTAAATTTAACTTTTTCTTTGCAAGATTTTTATCTGTCTGCAGGTGTTCGAACACTGGAACTCAAATTAGCTTTTAGACTTAGCAGTGCCTGTAGAGGCATACTTCTACTCTGCCCATACAAATATACATACAGGCTGTAAATCTACATCTACACTCTGCCTTTATTTTCTCTTTGCTCTTCATCTGAGCCAGTCCTTCATGATTTTTAATTTTATTTTTTTTGATTGCAACACTGCAAACTCAGTTCTCTTTTACAACTGCTTTCTTTCCTTGACTGGAAAGATGTCACCTTGTGATTCCAGGTATAGGTTTTCTCCTTTTGGTAGAGTGCCAAAATATGAGAAACAGTTTAGTAGGGAGGGAGGGAGTCAGCACTGAATAAAGAATTGAGCACAAGATCTTAGGGACAATCCTCCACAAGGTGGGCTGCTAGGAGACTGATTTCTCTCCCCATGACCACCACCTTCTGAAACCTGAGCCATCACCATGAAAAATCTTCAGTTACCGCTGAAAGTTTTCTGGGGAAAAAAAATGAAATACCAGTCAGTTGCCTCTCTTCTGTATCAACCACATTCAGAGTAGCTGTAATAGCTGCTTTGGTTAGGTGGGGCTGCCCCAGGATTCCCTTGACATAGTTTGTAGTTTCAGGTGGCACAGCTATTTCATGAAAGCCTGTCTTCTTCTCTTAATACTCCCTTATTTAAAGAGTTATTTAACAAACTGCCCTGAGTCTCAAGGACCCCCCCATCAGCCCACCCTCCAGCTGGAGTATGAGCCTTGCTCACATCTGAGGAGCTTCATTTACAGTTGTTTATAGCATGAATGTGTGCGTGAGCCATCACCCGAGGAAGAAGAAAGATTCTCGCTAGCAACTGCACTTACTTTGATATGTGATGTCTTTGTGGATATTTACAGCCCACTGTCTCTTCCTTTTTGGCTCAGTTCCACGTCAAAATTTTGTTTTCCGAGGCTGGGAGCAACTGTGGGTGTAGGGTGCTGTCTGACCTGTTAAATTGCTAGTACAAAGATGAGGGTGAATGAGGCATGATTGCATCCCTGCAGGAGGTGGTAGGACTAAGAAAAAATAAGTTCAAAAGTTTAAATGTGTGCACTGCAGAAAAATCCTGCACATGTACAACCTGTTTTTCAGAACTTCCAGTTATCACTCAGCAACCTTCATTTAAATCTAAATGCCTTTCAATTGTTCCTGATAATTCACCGTACATTTTACTCTAACACAAGATAGACTTCAGTACATTTTTACCATTTACTATCACATGATCATATTTATTACATTACTAACATATTTAGCTGTTTTAATTTTTTCTGTAGTTTGGAAGAAGAAAGAAGACTTCTGCAAAATGAATATGAAAGAATTCCAAACCAAAAGGCAAGTACAAAACCATGAGAAAAGTCATGTTTTATGTTTTGTCAGCTAACTTATAAAAACATCAAAATGTTGTCAGATTGTGTAGCTCTAGAGTTCATTTAAAATCTGGAATACACAGAAAAATGAAGAGGTAGATTTTAGAGGAGAGGCTGTATTATGTAATTCAGGCTTGATAGCTAGGGCAAGCAATGAATATTTGATTCAGAAAAGATATGTTCTCAAGTTTGCTCAAGAAAACTTTTGTTGTATTCAACAACTAGATACTACATGTAAAGATATTTACAGGTTTTTGGATCTAGGATATGAGTATGGAAAATACATTTGCAATTGTAAATTCTGATGGATATTTGTGGTTTTGCTGGAAATAAAATTCTGCTGATTATTCAAAGAAGAAACATACATCTGTTAAAAAATTGTGTTTCATACCTGGATATAAAATGTTATCATCATTCCATGTTATATTATATCACAAGCCTGCAAAATACAAAAGGGAAAATAAAAAAATCTGATCTTTTACTTGATTTTTAAAGGAAGCAGAGAAGAAAATTAAAGAGTTGAAAGAAAATTATGATGAGCTCTGCAAAGAAGTAATCCAAAGGAAAGCAGAAATTAATGCAATAAAGGAAGATGTTTCATCCAAGCAAAAGCTGATGCTAATCGATAAGAAAGAAACAGAAAAGCTTCTGGAGAAGCAGGCTAACTTAAAAGTAACGTAAAATTAATCGTGTGTGTATGTGTGCATGTATGTGTATATGTGTACCTTCTTTGTCCAAGGAAACAGTTAATAATCTGGATGTTGTTTGTCATTCCAAATACGTTAGTTGGCATTACATTATATATTACATCATTTTTCAATAAGCATGAAACATGCTGCTGTGGTATACCCAGTATTTCTCCTTTAGGAAGTAATAATAGTCATGGTTTCGATTAAAAAATGGTTTCTATAATCACGTTTACTGTGTTGTGTTATTGTAGGCTGCTCTAATGTGTGCTCAGATCCAAGGTAATACGGATTTATGCTGAGAATTAAAGAACATACCCAGGTCTTTGTCACTTTCCTTTCCATGGTAGAGATAACATGATCAGATGTATCAATAATATTGAAGCATAATTTTTATTTGGCAGACATAATGATATTGTAAGTATCATTGTTTAGTTTCTAACACAGTATCTGCAATTCCTTGGAACAAGCTCAAGTAATTTGAAAATACATTTCCTGCCCATTTTCATAGCAGTTCTAGGTGAATATTACTTCTATGAAATCCCATCACATTTTGAGGTTATTAATCTAACCTTTCTGTTTGGTCACTAGGCTGAGCTAGTTAAGATCCTTGGTGTTCCAGTACAACTTGGAAAAGAAACTGAGAAGATGAATCAGAAAAAAATGTATGCTTTTACTAGTTATAGAGACATAAATATGTATATCTGACTTCTTTTCATCCATTTGTAACAGAGATAATTGAGTATAGTTGTTGATAAAAATTAGTATTAACATTTTTAAAAGCATCTGTAATCCGTTTAAAATCCATGTGCTGTACTGAAAGATGTAGTATATGCATGAAATAGTGTCCTCAAGCAGGTTGACAGTTCCACCCAGCTTGGTGTCATCTGCAGACTTACTAAGGGTGCACTCTTCCCCCTGGTCCAGATCATTGATGAAAATGTTAAATAGGAGCGGCCCCAGTACTGAGCCCTGGGGAACACCACTCATGACTGGCTACCAACTGGATTTAACTTCACAGTTCACGACTCTTTGGACTTAGCCATCGAACCAATTTTTTACCCAGCAAAGCATATGTCCATCCAAGCCAAGAGCAGTCAGTTTCTCTAGGAGAATACTGTAGGCAACAGTGTCAAATGCCTTACTAAAGTCAAAGTAGACAACATCCATAGCCTGTCGTTCATCCAACAAGTGGGTCACCCTGTCGTAGACATATGCTGCTTTCTGTATGTGTAAAATCTAATTAGCTCTGTGCAGTTTCAGCTAGGTCACTCACAGATCCCAGCAGTCCGGTTGCATCCAGATGAACGTCGAGGTTTATACACTGTTTTGGCACAGGGTTATACTGAAATTTTTGTCTCTTGCTTGCAGTCCCTACCTGTAACATAGAAATTTCTTGACAATGTTAAATTTCTTGTTTCTAAAAGTTGTATAATGGTTTTCTTCAACATTTTCGTCACTACTCTGCTTAATGCAACCTTGACATCATAAATAAAAGTGTTTACTATGATGTTACAGAGAAGCAATTTTAAAACCCTAGCATATTGTGTAGATTGCTATTAATGAAGTATTTAAATGAGTCTTTATACTTGTATTACATCATAGAATGAACTAATCAGAGTTCTCAGTCTTGGAAATAATAATATTTACAAGTGTCCCACCCATGTACCTAGCCATGCTGACAGAAATCAGTTTACTAGAACCCTTTTTAATACTGTCATGTTGCTAAACCCCCTGTCACTCCCTTATAGCTACCTGCAATTTTATTGTTGAACTGTATTGGCATTTGAAGATTTTCACTGTACGTAGTCTGCTTTCAAACATATAACGTAGATAGTTGTGGTGTTGAAATGATTTTGTGTGTCCAACTTAACATTTTGCCATTTATATATATATCTGTGGAAACATTAACCCATACTGTTGTGTTAAAATACATCCACAGTGATTCAGAAAAGGAGAAAGAAGAGCTTAATATCCAAATAGAAGACTTGAGCGATACCCTGAAAGCCATTAAAAAAAGGACTGAAGAGATTATGCAAGAAAGAGAAGATATAATGAAAGAATTGGATGAGAAACAAATTTTGGTAGAAAGCAAAGAACGAGAATGCCTTACTTCGACAAAATTACTAGAAATTAGTAGAGAGAAGGAATCAGCGGTCTTATTAGACAGGTTAGAGTAGCAGTCATAAACTGTGTTGTATGAGTGAACAGTTCTCTGTTTTCAAAGATCTATTTCCTTTTTTCTGCTGTATTGTTTATGTTTTCAAGTTTTATGTTGTAAAAAGAGCAGACTAGAAAATATCAGGCTTGGTTTTGACTTCAGAAATGTTCATATAAACCACTGGAATCTAGGATCTGACTTGAAGAAGAACATCAAGAAGCATAAGCATTTGATAAAATCCTGGGAGAGTGAAACTGGGTTTTGCTTTGAAAGGGAAGTCTTTTGGGGGGGTTTCTCTACAGTGAAAATAGAGTTTTTTCTGTGTTACCCACAAAAAGTAAATGGAACAAGAGAAGAAGTATTTTTATTTTCAGATGAGGATCATAGATTTCTGCACATACATACTCCTGAATTTCAGTGGAGACTGATTACTCATCTCTTTAATATTCCCTTGAATTACGAGTTTATATATACTTGGTAAACTGCTAGACTGATTGCAAGTTTCAAACGATTCCTTCTTTGCAGAGGAAGATGTATCAGTTGTAATTGTGGCCATATACTCAGCAACAATGCTTCTGCCTTTAAAGTTTTGTGTTAAGGGATAGTGGCACTTTAAAATGAAATGTTTGAGTGAACACGTAGATATTTCCTCATACTAGAAAATATGTTTTCTTCCTCTTATAAGTAATAGTTTCTCTGAAATTTTTGGTATGTTCAGAGAAGTCTGTGAGACCTCATTGACATCACTAGGAACATTATCATTGATCAAAGTTATAAAAATACTATCTTTTTAGTTAATTTGTCTCAATAGTTTGTGTGTTTATCTTGCTGCTCAGCCATAATGATATAGTACTCAAAACCCATTTTACTGATCATGCTCGTTTACATACACGTCTTGGTCAAGTTACTCATTTCTAAAATTCTGTGTCTATTTATGTAGAGAAGCTCTGGAAAATAATTTAAATAAATGTGTTTTGGAGAAAAAAAAGCAACAGGATATTCTCATTCACAAGCAAAACCAGAAAGAAAAAGAACTGAGAAATTTAAAAAAGCTGGAGTTAAAACTGAATATGATTTATGATTCCCTGGAACAAGATAAGTCACAGCATAAAAGACTCAAGACGGAGGTCTGTATGAATGCATTGATCATAAGAATTCTAAATTTTCTTGTAAGAAATCTATCTATGAAAGCTTTTGACTGTTACAAAAAGAGGGAAGAGGAGAAAACTGTTTTGAGTCTAAGGCACACAAAAGGGTCAAGAATGTTGCTGCAGCTAGCAAAGGAACTTCTAGGTGCTCTGACTGTAATAAAAATACTACATCAAGATATATTTGAACTAATTAAGAAATTGATTTTTAGATGGGAATCTATCTCCTTATCAAGGAGAACTGGGAGGTTATATTGGCGCTGTGGCGTCGTGTCTTCCTAGGCACACAAAAGGGTCAAGAATGTTGCTGCAGCTAGCAAAGGAACTTCTAGGTGCTCTGACTGTAATAAAAATACTACATCAAGATATATTTGAACTAATTAAGAAATTGATTTTTAGATGGGAATCTAAATGTCTTCCTTTAAAGCACTGTAGAACTGTAGTCATTTATGAGTGAAATAATATAGTGACTTGCAAATTTTCATCAAAGAAATTCATACCAGAAAAATAGAGCCACATACTCCCTGGCTCCCAAATGATGAAAATTTAACACTATTTTTTAAATTAGAAGTTTGTTTATACATTACTGTAAGTGTTAAATACTGCAGGGGACAAGAAACTAGCACTATATAAACTTTGGTGTTAAATAATATGAAATAATTCCGTATATTTTCTTTGTTTCCACTCAAATTTCACCCTCCACATATCCTACCTGCACTAGTATTTCACCCATTCCTCTTCTCATACTAATTTACTCTTTTCTGATTTATTTGTGCCTTTTACTATGCTATTTTTAAAGGGCAGGTTCATTCTGCTTGTCTATTCAAAGCATTTCCTTTCTTTTCTCTTTCCAATTCTTTCTTAAAAATTTACTTTGTCTATAACTTTTTCGTATTCTCTTCCTCTCATCACTGGTTCTTCCATTCTCTCTTTCTTAAACTTTTCTCCTATACTATCTCCTTGCTTTAGTCTAAATTGTAAGTCAGTCTCATAAAAGTAATCTCATTTAGTCAGATGAATGAGTATTTTTTCATAGGTCTTGATATTTCCTACCTTGACGCAGCATCCTTGAAATTTTACTTGGGCCTTCTAATCAATTGAAGAAGAAAGTCTTATTTACATCACTGTAAAGTTTTTTAGAATAACTATATGATATAAAAACTCACACATACTTATTTTTACTATTTAAACATCTCTAAAAATTACTTAGTAATATTTGATATTATTTTTTTCTATCTCCCCTGAAAATCCTCCTGAATTCACATGTGTAATATAAGCCCACTTGGGAGAAGGGAGGAAAGCTCTTTTACTACACAAAAAAAAGGTTTTGGTTGAATTTCCTGAAATATTGATTAAAGGAGTGACTCATATTCCATACTTTGATCTCAAAGTTCATGCTGAATTTCTGTTTGGTATCAGCTGAGAGAATTGAGGAAATGGTATTTTTTCAACCACAATTGTTCAAAAACATGTAATGCTAAAATCAAATGCCATAACTCACCAATAGCCGTGGCTAGATTTCACAGCCCTGGGTGACATCCAAACCCAACCCAAACCCTTCACACCGTGAAAGGGTGAGACCCGTAACAAGACCCTTAAAGGTTAAGTTATGTTGCAAAGGATTCCCTCATTGCTAACACTGGTTTATCCTGTAGGATTGTGTGTTACTTTCAGGTAGCATCATCGTGAGGAATCGGGAAAAGGGGTGTGCTCGTAGAGAGAGAATCAGAATTCTAAACAGCATTTTACTCCAGAAGTTGCAGGATACTACCCTAACGCAAACAGGCCATGTCAGTGTAGTTGTTTTCATGCATCCTTCCATGCTTCTGTTTTTTCACTAATTTTGGTTTTTCTCTGATTTTTCTCTTGGCATGGTCAGCTCAAATGCAGTAGTGGGGTATGAAAGAACTAGAATGGCAAGCTTGAATCTCTTTGGCTTTTGCTATCCTGAGATTGTTTAAATTTTGAGGATTTACAAGCTCACCTAGGAAAAGTTAAAATATTTTAAGTAGTTGAAACTAATTTAACTACGTAAAAAAAGCCAGATTTGCATTTATTCATTGTGATTCCAAGTGAAAAAATCTCAATAATTAATTGCTACTATAAAAATGTGATCGCAGAAACAGCATTAAATTTCCCTTTGCTTCATGTGCTAAGTGCAAAATGACTGGTTTGTAGAAAAAGGAAATTACAGGAACACTTCCTTCAAAAATGTTTTCCTTCTTAGTAAGTTGTGAAAGGTCAGCTATTGCTAAACGCCAGCATTCCGTGTGAAAGAGAACTGGACGCTCTACATGCACGATTTCTCTTCAGTCAGGCCAATGCAGAGACAGCCAAAAGTGCCCAAGTTTAGTCATGTCTTATGTGAACAAAAGTCCTTAACAGATTAAAGCTGTTTATAGGAGCTTTCTACTTTTAGACTCAATAGCTTGATGGCATCTTTAGAATCCCGTCTTGAAAATGTGGAAATGCCTACTTACAGACACTGCAGCCTTTTACACAGCAGCAGTGGTAACTAATCCGTACTCCACAGAAAACCCGTGTTTGCTCCCTCCAGAAGCGTGAAAGTAACTTGATTAGAGCAGGTTTTATTGATTTCCTAGCAAACCTAAGTCAAATCAAATCTCAGAGTTGGCAGCTGAAACCAAAGTAACTCCACACTTTGATCTTTGGCAGCTAAAACCAAAGTAATTCCACAGTTTGATTTTTACTCTGCAAGTGAACAAACACCTAACTTTCAAATATTATCACAGAAGTGAAAACTCCAAGTACAAAACATTGTACTATCTATACTGAGGTATAGTAGTTTGAACTCTAACATCTGGTTGAGATCTGAGAAAGATACCATATATTATCTGTGAATAGCTTCCAGCTGTGACATTCACTGTCATTTTTTCTCACCTATATGAATTACAGATTTGCAATTATGGACATATGCCTTCAAGTTAGCCTGCTTTATTTATTTATTTCTTACCTGTAACTGTAAAGAGCTTTTAAGGGAACTTAATCACTGTAAGACAAATACAACATTTTTGCATTTCAAATTATATCCTGCAACTAATTGTAGTGGGTTTGTTATATTTAAGGCAGATGGTAGTTTCTAATGCATCTTCCTTCACACATTTCATTTTAAAATCTGAATGAATTAACAAACTTTCCCATAATGTAAAAGAAAAAATGGTATATAACTCCCTAGAGCCTAAGGATGAAGTAGGAGAATCCTACTTGAATGACAACCCCCCCCCAAAATACTATATCAAATCTACACAGATGTGAAATACTGACAGTATTAAAATCAGTGGTAGATCTATATTTTTCCTTCAGTAAGGTCAGAATTTCACTCAGAAAATCCTCTGTGAATTTAGAAGGTGACATCTTTACATAGTCTCTCTGTGATTTTTGCTTTTTAATGACAGTTTGTTTAGTTTCTGAAAAACATAACCCTTATAGATTCTGTACTTAGGTTGGGCTTTGTGAAGTTTAGTGTTTATAGTTAAATTTTAAAAGAAAAATTTGGGAAACTTGGATATGAGGAACACAACTAAAAGCTAAGACTAGCTATTGTAACAAGACAGAAAATGCATTTCTTAATTTGTGTGATTACTTCCAGTAGATTATCTGCACTTCACGTTTTTCATATCTTTTGTTTGCATCACTCAGTGTACTTTATTTATTTTTGTAGGCAGAAGCTATTCCTAGAAGTAATGCAGCATTGTTAGAAAGACGGCGAGAACTGCAGAAGGAAATTGAAATGGCCAAGAGAAGTTTAGCTAAACAGGTGCTGAGCTCTGTTTTCTTATACTTTTTCACTATAGCAGTTGCATTTCAATCATGAGAATAAAAGGGACTGTTTGAAATGAAAATGATGGGAGTTTATAGCTACAGCTTTCTAGTGAGAAAACATGATAATTTGTTCAACTGTAAAGACAACTTGTTTGTCATATTTAAAAAAGCATTTTTTTGGTGTTACTGGTCATGTATTGAAAGGCAGAAAGTAAATCCACTTTTTAGGTTAAGTTTTTCTGAATATCATTAATGATATTAAAACTAGAAATATGATAGGTATAAATTTCCTTTGGATATGGCACGGTGTCTTGTTGAAACAAGGAAAATGTAGCATTTGTACATTATAATTTTTCATCTTCAGAGTGCTGTCATTTGTGGATGTCTGTCTATTCTCAGCACAGCCAGGTATAGTGTGGAAATGCAGGTGTCTTGAGTATGAGAGAATTAGTGCTTGCCACTGAATAAGTGAATTTGTAAGAAGCGACATATTTCAGACATACCTTCTTGTTAAGATCATACTTCCTTACCTTCTTTCTCTTATATCCATTTTCTTTCTGTGCTGTCTTTGAATTTGTTAGCATTAGCAGATGGGATTGATGGAATATGTATGTAACGTGCCCCAACAGGCAATAACGATCTAGTCATGCAGTGAGGGGAGCCTGGGAAGTCATCCATCCCCACCCTCCTGAAGAGGTTACCCAACACTAGGTATAAAAACCAGCTCTTTTGAGCTCCCTGGCTGCATTGACTGAATCTCCAACAACTCTAGGCATCTAGACACTTTACTCTCTTTCAAAGGTCTAAGTTTGACGTGAAAGCTCATTGTCTTCCCTTGTGTAGTACGGCCATGTCAAAACCTGACAGTAAGCTTATTTGAAGATTTTATGACAACAAGGAATCATTCTGCCAAACAGACACTGAAAGACAGGCTAGATTGAGGAACAGAAACGCTATGCTTCTAGGTGATGAAGTGTTTTGATATGTTATTACAAGGGTTGTGCATAGTGTTTCAGCTAGTGTTTTAAAGCAATATTTATTTATTTTTTAATCCATGTAGTCTGTATATATGTGTACTTTGCAGATGCATCAATACATAAGGAATTTAATTTTCTTTAGGAAATGATGTCAGATACAGATGCCCACATGTTAGAAGAATGTATTGCTGAAGAAAGACGGCTTTTCGAAGAGCAGGAAAAATGCAGAGATGAGTTATCCAGACTTGCGCGTCTGACCCGGATCAAAATTGAAGAACGTGAGCAGAAATCTAGGGATGTTCAGAAAGCCCAGGTGAAAAATTATCTCATGTAATTGGAAGACTCTTCTAAAGTGAAAGCTGGTTTATGGAGCAATTAAATTACTAGTGAGGAGAGCCTTATGGAATTTGATTTCCCTCATGACTTTGAAGTTTCTTCAGAACACAGGAAGCTCACAATACTGTGTTGTTTTATTGGCAATTTATGGTGTGGTGCAACAGTATATTAAAATATCATGTCGCAATTGAAATAAGGTATTTGAAAGGACATTTTCTTTCAAGCTTATGGAATAAAGAGGCAGAAAAGCAAATAGCCTCAACCGAGATTCTCAGAAGTAGAACTAGGTGTTTTATTTTACAAATATGTGGACATTAAAAGATGAACAGAATTGCTACTCCTTCTGAGGAGAGACATTAGTTTTTATTTTCCTGACACATTTTCAGGTATAAATTATTACATTAATGTGAAGAAGGTTGGAAAGAAAACCTTTCCTATGATAACAGCAGCTAAGACTAGTCATTGGGTTTGCTGCCTGCAGCTTGCTGGTATCATGTATGTGCTGTGATGTTGCGTGGCTTATACTACCTACCAGGTTTCTGCACAGGAATGAAGTATTTATGCTTCCACAATGTACATCTGTATTGAAATAAATTAGATAAGCTACTGCTTTGGGAATCTTTGTCTATAAAAACAGAGTAAACAAACACGTCAGGTTTTGCACCTTCAGTAAAAATCAGTCCATAAACAGATCAAAAAAACCCTCCACCATACCAAGTAATGAACACACATAAGCACACATGCCCAACAAGCATCAGCTCTTTAATCACAATTTCCTCCTCCTGGTACCAGTGTGAGGTGAGAAAAAGCTTGTCCATTGAAGGTTCATGTCACAGGATATTAAAGACTGATTACAACCGAAACAAAATGTTCAGAGCCATAACAAAATGTAAATATACCATTCTACTCCATCATCAGTGATTGCTTAAAAGCCAGAAAAAGAGTAAAAAAAAAAGAAATTCTATTTGAAAAGGTACAATTTCAGTGATGCAGATGCCAAATAATTACATAGGAGTGGAACGAAGTGGCTGATTAAAGAAGCAGTAGAACTCCAGATGGAAAGGACCAAGCATTTTAAGATGCAGCATCAAATTTTCTGCATTAATAGCAGTCATTGTAAGTGTCAAGAGCCAGGTTTCTACACATGGAAAAAACTGTTGTCATAATAAAAACATTTCATTATATTTGGGCTTTATTCTTAGAATAATTTCATCTCACTGTCCTCTCCTTGTCTAAGAGGAACAGCAGTTCTGAGTAATTTCTTTGAAGATATTTCTTTGATATATCTCAAGTGCTTACTGAATGATATTTACATTTCAGATACAACTCCAAAATACCATTAAAGAAATAAAAAGAAAGGACCTTGAAATAACAGACCGTAAAAAGAGGAGAAAAGCAATCAAAAAAGAGTAAGAAAATAATGCTAACAATACATTATCTAAAACATGTCTTTCACAGCAATTTTCATCCAAGTAATGTATGCATAAAATTATAATAATTATTTCTTTCACACTTGTCATTTCTTCAGACTCCGAGGATTTACTAAAATTTTTGAAGTTATCCAAAATGAAAAGAATAAATGTGTACGTTTGGTGCATGCTGCTCAGCAGAAAGCAAGTGAAATTAAAAACCGGGTAAAATTGCTAGGAAATGAACTAAAAAATTTAAGGAATACTGTTGTAACCATGGAGAGGTGAGTTTTAAGTAAGCTGTAGATCACAGTTATAGAAATGTAAGGTTAGAAAGATTCTTAAGCAATAATCTACCTACTTCAATTTCAGCTATGCCTATACACATCACCCTTGATTGTTATTACACCGATTTTTAAAACCTGATTCCAAGAAATTTAGCAATACCCTTAAATAATCTGTGCCAGTATCTTGTCACCCTAACAGTTCACGAGCAACTGGGGCATCACTGCATGTCACAAAGCATTCTTTGTCTGGCTACTCTCTCCTGTGCTTTGGAAGGATAAATTGTCATTGCTTTTCCTTTGTATCACAGTTCTTGAGCCTCTCATATCCGAATTATCATGCTATTTTATTCCGTGTGAACACCACTGTTGTACTCATACTTGCTTATCCTTAGGCAAAAAGACATCCCATATGAGATTCCACCATCACCTCGTGCATGGCACTATTAAATGAGTCACTAGCTAATCATGCGGCTGTCTAATTATTAAATGAGAACAAACTGCGTTTCTTGGTTCAAACTTAAACTGCAGTTTATTGGATAACATTCACCTCTGATCAAACAAAACATTGTTTCAATTGCCAGGCCGTCCTCCTGAAAATCAAAGGTTACAGTCACAACAAAGAGGGTGAGGTGGAACAAGGGGTGCATTTTTTCACAGACCATTGTTTAGCAGAGATGCCTTTTGCCAACTTTCTGGCATTCTAGTGATGATATTCTGCAATACAGACAGAATGACAAAGTCTCCAAAATTGGTAGCTGGGAAAATAGAAAGCTAAGGAACAGTTAACTGTGGTAGGGAATAGTTAACTGTGCATGCAAAACGGCACAGCCAGAAGTAAGGAGTTTAAAAATTATTTGATTTTTCCAAAATTTTTTTTCCAGTGCCAAAATATTTCACAACCAGATCAAAGAATGCATTCAGCATACATTCATTCCAAGTGTATTGTAGATCTCTGAGCAGCTTGATTTCAAAGTCATGCTGGAAGTGGATAGAAAAGAAGTGGAACTTCAGTGATTTAAGTGATTTTAAGATGCATAAACTGGCATTTCATGCTAAAATTTTTGAGACCTTCCCAATCAATCATTGGTCAAAGAAGGGGGGAAAAGGCTAAGAAGGCAGATGTATATTGCCTAGATATCAGAAATATCTAATTATTATAGATGACCCTACTCCAGTGCAGATCCCACAGACATTTTGATCTCTGCAAACCTGGTTTTAAAACTAGCAACAAGTACTGAATCACCACTAATTCTCTTGCGTGCAGAAAATAGACTTTAGTGTCACAATCTCACTGATTTAACTGCAGCCTACACAGTTTGGGGGACTGAGCATTAGTCCAAATGAGAGGAAGTTTTTTCAGAAAATATTTAATAACACACAGCATGTCATGCTTTCAGTCTGAAACCTGCTTTGCAGAAGTTTAATTCAATTCAGTAATACCCTGTGGAACCAGAAAGAAGCTCACTGCTCTGTATAGAATTATTGAGCATGTAATGATGGAGTCCCCGAGGGGAGGGAGGATATTTCATCTGCAGTTCTGTATTTTCACGGGAGACTCTGCTTCTCCTTTCACTACCTCTTTTGTGTGTTAGTGTATCTCCCCGGGGTACACAGCGATACTTGACTGAGAAGTGACACTCACCACAATCAAATGCGGTAAATCCAAGTTCTACGTCCTAAGCAAATGAATGATCCACGTGGTAACAAGAATCTGTATTTTAGCCGGGGGACCATCATCTAGTGGCTAGCAAGGTTGCTGGAAGTGTTGAGTTTTGTTTTTCATTTTTATGGGTCTATAATGTGATTTTGTCACAAACCTTCATTGTCATTTTTTTTCTCATCTTTCAAACAGGGAAACTGATCATCTTCTTTCTTGTGTGAATGTTGTGACTCATTGTTTTATAAATAATAAACTTGAGGATCTTTGAATTGCAACCACAAGAATATTTAAATAACACTCTTCAAATAAAAGTGCAGGATTTCTACATGTTAAGGCTTTGCGTTGCAGTTTATGCTTCTGCTGTTGAACTTTATTTCTTACATCCCCTTGGCCTACCCAGTGAAGAAGAAAAGGGCTGTAGTGCGGTGCTGTGGTGCTCTCCTTACAGCATTTGGAGGGGCCATAATCCAGTTCTCTTCAAACTGGAAAGCACTTGCAGAGAGACGCTGTTCTCAGAGAGTCTTTCCACTTCTTGTAACACTTTTGTGAAGTAGAGTGACGTAGAAGATCCCTTGTGCACTTGATGAATTAGTTTAAGCTCTGCTTTTAGTTGCTGAAATTGCTTTCAAATTGAAAGGACTAAAAACTTTCCCTCTTTTCTATTGTGTTAAAGAAAATTGCTGAAACAACTTGTCAAGAATACAAATGATGTAGCAGTTATGGACAGTCTCAAGAGTGATTACCGCAAAATTGTACAAATCATGCATGAGATGAATGAGCAGAAGAAGCAACGGTGTGTGGAGCTTGAGAGACTTACCAGTAGGGTCACCCACATCGAAGAGGAAATGGTGCAGCTACGCAAAATATATGAAAAAGCTATTCAGCAACACAATGAGAGGTATACCTGTAAATCTGATGTAATATAGTGTTTAATTTTGACATTCATGAATCCACAATACTTTTCAACTTATGAGTACTCCAAATTAGGAATACTAAACGACTCACTACAACATTTCACTAAACAGTCGGCCTCCCTGCAATGTCGATGCTGCTTTGCACTCCATTGGTGAAGATGTTCGTCCTTCAGAACTATCAATTAAAAATATGAGTGTTTGGCTACTGAGTGCATTGAGCGCTTGTAAGCTCCTGCTCCATTTCTACTTTGTGCATATATAAGGTAGAAAAATGCAGAAGACACAAGGCTCTCTGATGATGTTAATCCATTTTTAAATGATACCGTGGAAGGTCAGAAAAGCTTTTAAAATTATTTGAGAGACTAGATCAACTTTGCAGTTGTTTCTTCTCTGATTTTCACATCATAACTATTTTGTTACCTAGTTAAAATGCTGTCATGATATTAAAATAATATTTGTGAAACCTTTGTACATTTCCCCAGATTGTTGCTATATTTCAAGGTTGCCAGTTATGTTCTCAAATGAAATACACTTAAAATGATTATTTTTTTTTTAATCTTGCCTTTTCATTTTGGGCTTATTACAGCGGTCTTCTGCTCAGAGATCGAGAAGAAGAAATATGTATTTTATGTGAAAAAATAAACATGCAAGAGATGTTGCTTAGAAGTGGAGATATTGAAATGCAAGCTATGGATGAAAAGATTAGACTTCTGAAGTTGAAGGTAGCTGAGAGAAAGAGACAAATTAAACTATGCTTCAGAGCGCTCCCAGTGAAGAATGCCCTGGATGCACATCTGGTGGAGCTTCAGATACAGGTTGGTGGGAAAGAAAGCTTTTCTTTTTTGCTTTTATTATTCCGTATTTTAAAACTTAAGGTAATTACATAGGAAAAAATATCCGGAAAGTTTAGTAAATGAAGGTTTAGTAAAACAGAAAGGTCAGTAATATAGAATCATAGAACCATAGAACCATAGAACCATAGAACAATTCAGGTTGGAAAAGACCCTTGGGATCATCGAGTCCAACCATTGACCCTACACTACAAGGTCACCCCTAAACCATATCACCCAACACCACATCTAAATGACACTTAAACATGTCCAGGGATGGCGCCTCAATGCCCTCCCTAGGCAGTCTGTTCCAGTGTCTGACCACTCATTCCATGAAGAATTTCTTCCTAATGTCCAGCCTAAACTTGCCTTGTTACAACTTGCAACCATTCCCCTTGGTTCTGTCCCTAATTACCTGTGAGAAGAGACCAGCACCAACCTCTCTACAATGTCTAGCAGATATACCTGTCTAGCAGAATGCTGATGCATGTTTTAAACTTCAGATATGTGAGTTCCTATGCTTATGTGTAATTTTTGTTAGGCTCATGCCATCCTGGGTATAGAATCTCAGCTAACCCCCTCCGAAATGCCAGTATGACGAAGCTGGAGAATGGGAGTCATGAGGGAAAAATGAGAACGTAGATAAAATTTGTTAAAACTGTGTTGATGGGGATAGTTGGGGTAGGAGGGGTGGGAGATACACTTAGCTTTTCAAATTTCTAAAATAATAACGCAATTCACACTTGACCCTGAGCCTACTCTGGAAAATCTGCTGCCTACAATGATATAATCCACATATATTTTCTCCTACACACAACCAGTGTAAGTTTTAGTCCTAGTTACAAAATGACATTAAACAACTAACAGACTGCAGTGTTTGGGACATTCTTTCCTTGCTTTCTGAAATGGCTCATTTACTTTTGACCTTATCTCCAGATGGTCGTTTTTTCCATACATATTGTGTTAGTGCTGGCACAAAATCATAAATTAGGGTGTACCATTGCATTTCGTAACTGCGTCGATGGGAGCTGTGACTCACTGTTTTATAGTGCTTGCACTATTCTGTTACTTCTGGTTTTTTAAACAAATTGTATGCTCTGCTAAAAGAATAAAATGTTACACAATACCTTGTGCAAATCACACCCCAAAGAACTTGGTGGTGCCATCAGGGATTTAAAATATAAACAGAAGTAGTATATAAAAAAAAAGACAATAGACTAAAGAAAAAAAAAATGTCTTCAGGTAAGATTAGAATGAGACTGAGAGTCATTGAGTAAAATATAATATGAAAATTCACATGATTTCTGTGAACTGACAGAGCAATCGTGAAACTGCTTTTTCTGTTCGGCATGCCTAAAAACTTCTCTTTAAATCTTTCTGCAGTATTGACATAAAATTTAAAAGTAGGAAAATACAGAGCGGTGTGATATTACACATGGAGTAGTCAATAAATGTTTCCAAGTCAGAGATTTTCCAGTGAATGATGGCAAATAACCAGCTATCAGGCTTTAAAATGTAACTGGATACTGCGGTTACTGAATATTATGTGGTTCAAACTGGCCGTTAACCCAGGCGTCTCCTAATGCTCAGCCATTCTAGCACTAATACTCTTCCTCCCACTGGCAATAGCCATCATGTCTAGCGAGAAACAATTTCAAACTGTTTGGCTTTACCTTCATGATTTAAACAAAAGCCATAAGCCAGAGTCTGAATTCTGGTGTTGGGTTCCAAAGTCAGAATGGTAATTCCTGTGCCAATTACAGATTCGTCCCTGTGTTGAAATCCATCTCAGCGTCTGCTCAGTTAGGACACCCAAAGGACCTTACAATAATGATCATTTGCACAAGACTTTGACTTGATGTGGTGCATACAGACCTAAGTCACTCATCTTGTCTGTGAAACCAACCTCTGAAAGTAAGCTGAAATGTGAAGAGGCGGTAACAGGAGCTCCTTTTGGACTGCCATTTGTCATTTTCGAAGTTCAGAGAGAATCAATTAGATCTCCTATAACTGCAGACTGTAAATCTCATTTCTGAGTTCTCCTCTTCATTTTTATTTCTCTATTCTATTATGACCTTGTGTAGGAGCCAGCGTGACAAACCTTAACTTTGTGTTAGCAGCCCACAGAACACATTTTGCAGATAAGTGAACAAGTCTCTCTGTTAATGGAAAGAATTGGGTATCTTTGCCTCCAGAGGGGAGATCCTGATAACCTTACTTAGGGAGCACGATGTTCCTCTTGGAGGTCTTTGTTCTCAGGGCACCTACCTCTCCCCACCAATGGTATGGAAAACTTTGAAGCATGTAAGAAGGATGCTTCAAAAGGCATCTACATCTTAAAAATTAGATCATTTGAATTAGACAAGCTGAATCCTGTGCCTGTACGTCTTAATCAACAGATTGGCAGTATTGGCAGTATTGGCAGTATTGGCAGTATTTCAAATATAGAGAGATCTGAAGGAAAAACAAGATTCAGTCTTACGAAATGGGATAGATTTCAGTATTTGCTGTTTTCATTTTACTGAGTTATTCTGGCTCTTTTAGAGACACTGTTTGAATCTAAGTCCTACGTATTTTCACCAGATTGCCCAGAGAGGTGTTGGAGGCTCCATCCCTGGCGACGTTTGAGGTCGGGCTGGATGGGGCTCTGAGCAACCTGATCTAGTTAAAGATGTCCCTGCTCACTGCAAGGAGGTTGGACTACGTGATTTTTAAAGGTCCCTTCCAACCAACATGCTGTATGAATCGTGTAAAAAAATAAACCAGACCCTTTTTTAAAGAACGGATATCTAATCAGTTGACCTTTATTCTGTATTTCTACAGGTAATCTTTCCTGCCTACATGTAGCACCATATATTTGTTATTTAAAATTATCTCCCTGTTCAGACGTTTTTTCAGACCAAGGTCATTTTGAATTTGAATCTTCTCCTCCAAAAAGTATTTGCAATCTCTCTGAGCTTAACCTCATTCTACTGATGTAGTACTTACCTTATCTTTTCATTAAGATCTCATTTCCTTAGCTTATTTATGTGAATGTCATATGAAACAATATTGAAACTATGCAAAAATCAAGATATACTATATCTACTATTTGTCATCCACAGACCTCTTCAGTTATCATGGTGGGAAACTGGTCTGGTTTCACATGACTCAACACACCTGTGTTGGTTGTTATCCCTACCTTTCTTCTTTTCTAGCTGCCTATGAAGAAAGCTTAATGATTTGTTCCAGATTTATTCTTCGGAAAGTGAAGACAAGTTATCTATAGTTCCATAGCTCCTTTTTCCCTCATTTTTAAAAATAGGTACGATATTTGCTCTTTCCTAGTGCTCTATATACCTCACCTACCTTCTCTGAGATTTCCAAAATAAGCATGAGATCTTTACTTTTTCAGGCCAGTCCTTTTATCAAGGCATGTGTTACCTCTTGTCTGTTCAACGATTCCTCCCGACTGATTAAAATCCAACATGCAAAAGCTTCTCTTGTAGACCCTTTTCTGATCGTCTGTGTCAAATCAACTCCAAGAAAGATGAGATTTATTTGGTTTTTTTTATTTTAAGACTTAGAATCTCATAGAATTCAGATAAAGTCTTGTCCAATGAAAACACTACAAGTTAGGAGAGTAAAGAAAGATGTCTATAGCCACATCACTTAAACAGAATAGTGTGATTATCTCCAAATGTGCTTTGTTTTCCATACTTTTGGATTAACCTGCATCTAATCGCTCCCAATTCATAAAAGGAAGCCTAGCATTTAAGTTTAATATGAAACCTTCAATGTTAGAGTTTTGATTGTGGTGGGGTTTTTTGTTTGTTTTCTTTTCTGTGGTTTGGGAAGTGTTTTTGCTGCAGTAGTCCTTCTTTAAACTATTTGATCCTGCAAAATGTTACTTGGTGAGCTGTCTCTAATCTTTTTAAGGCACCACTGCCTCCAACAAGGCATCTTCACCTGAGTTAGGGGTTAAGAAATTTGGCCCCAGATAGAAAATACCACTGGAAATAGAGCTCCATCTTGTTGCTTTTGCTGGTCCTACTTTTACATTCTTCCACTCTGTCTATTTTTGGGCTTGAGTTTTAGTTGTTTATAATTGAAATAAATCTTTCAGTACCTAGTCGTGTACTGGAAGGAAATTGTTCATTACAGTAATTTAAAGTTTTTACTTTGCCTGCTTTTACACAAAATGTGAAAGAAAATGTTATGTGATGCCTTTTTACCAGAAAAAGAAGTATTTAAGACGAGTGTTCTGGTAATGTTTCATCACCATCTAAGAAGATCTATCAGTTTTCCCTTTTCCAGTGAAACATGACTTGTTAACTTCCAGTAAACAAATCCCATCCCAGTAGCAACATCTAAACATTGACTTCACGTTTTTAGTGACTGTTCATAACTTTGAGAGACACTGAGCACTTATTTCCTTAATAATATCATCGCCTGCAGCTGCTGGTTAGCATTTATAACAGCTTACTTGGCTATGTTGTGTCAGTGCTAATAGATCAAGGTTGGAGTGACAAAGCGCTGACAGATGTCCAGGTGTGTACCAAAGCACAAAACCCCACCATGGTCAGTCTTGCAAGTCCAAACATGAAGAAATGTCCCAGCCTCTCCTTCAGCAAGTATTTGTGTGTAGCGTGGATGTCCATCTAGTGTGTTCTGGGACGTGTTATTCCATGGGATGTTCTCACAACAGGAAGGTCAGGGAACACCTGCCTCTCTGGGTCCTGGCAGTACCACATTGCTCAGTGTCACTGAGTCACTTCAGGACATGGCCTGGAAAAAACTTGGATGCCTGCAGGGATGAGACCTTTAGTGCTAATCAGTGGGAAAGTGAGACTTTCAGATTTAACTTGCAACCAAACTGTCGGGTGCTTGCACCCTTCCTACATCCCTAAATGGATCCTGTGGGTCAAACAGAAAATTGTAGGCAATAAAGGAAGGCACCTTTAGTCCTCGCAGTCTTATGTATATATACATACCCAAAAATCTGGTGTATTCGTCAGGATAAACAAAAGTAGCCTAAGGACAAAGAAGCAGCTGAAATTCGATTTCTGGCAGATAACAGGGTTTTCCTCTGTCCTGCAATTGTCATGTTGTAATTCCCTTAAAAAAAAAAAAGGCTTATTTTCTTCTACATTGCCCTCCCTCCTTCCCAGTTCAAGGAAACTTTGTCTGTTAAAGCCCATGGGATCAAGCTGGGGGGGTGAGTTAGGTGGGGACATGTTCCCATGGTGAGTCCGACAGGAGCTCCAGGTGCCCGCCACTGCCCCGCGCAGCCTCCTCCACCAGTGAAGGTGCCAGCTTGGCCAGGCTGCAGAGACCTGGGTCACGGAGAAGGAAGCGAACACCCGTGGGGGGTTCCACCCTTCCAAGTGCTCCTCTTCCTCCTCAGGATGCTGCTGCAGCTGTGGTGGGTCTCAGCTCGCTGACCAGCTTTTGCACTCCGTCCCCCCCTCTCTGCTAACAGCAGCTGTGGAGCGGGGCCTTGAGCCACTCCACTATGGCCCAAAGGATGTGGTTTGGCACAAACCACCTATGGCTTTTCATCCAGGCCACCAGCAGAAGCTGATGAGGGTATCAGCCCTAGGGCAGCCTTTTTCTAACTTCCCAAACACGTTCAGAAGGTGAAAATTATTTTCTAAGTCCAGAGCTGTCACAATACCTAGTGTCTCAGAGAAGAAGCCTCTTCCATGCAGCTGCATTATTTATACACAGTTGCAGGTTGGAGAAGTAAAGAAAACAAGCCTTCAAGACACTTAAACTATTAATAAGATGAAACTGATTTATATTTGTGCATTATAGGGATGACCTTCTGTGACATAATCTATTGGTTCTCAAATTCCCATTCATTAGGAACAGGAGAGGAGAGCAACATATGTCCAGCTCTGGTTCTATAGGGAAATGTTTCCCAGTCTTTGACCAGTATCATTTTGGTCAGTCCTACACCACCCAAGTATCCCAAACATCTCCCAGTGAGGCTGGAGTCGTGCTTCCAAGCCCAGGTGTTGGCAGTGCAGCCACCCCAGCTGCTTTAGCGCAGTTCTGCTGGTGTAAATCAGACACATTGAGACCTTCCACCTCTGGTCATGTATTAATAGCAAGGTTTTTGGCTTCTTGTCTGGAAAAAATAACTGTCTTGGATTTTTGTTTGCTAGTATTCCCAGTGCAAGGACAGGATCAAACAGATGGAGAAAATCTTTGCTGACCCTGCAAATGAAAGTAGAAAGCGAGAGTTGGGAGGGAAGAACCCGTCTCCACCCGAGCTGCTAAAAAAGATTGAGCAGGTAACCTCACTTTTCATGTCACAAGCTCTCCCACTTGACCTCTCTTAGAAAAAAGTTTATTTTAAACTTTTTGTAAGAGGAATTAAAATAATTATGATTGGCTAATGGGAACTCCAGCCCAGCATCTGCTTTGCAGGACAACTGGATGTGAGGCAGAGGCTGGAGAGGGGTGGCACCCCCGGCTCTGCAGCGTCCTCTGCTACGTTGTCCATTCACATCATTGGCACTTTAGTGCAGACCCTCCAGTTCACTCCGGAAGGGCATAGAGAAATAAATGTGCTAACAACTTTCTCATTCTTCTGCAACCAGCTACTAGTTGGTCCAGCACCGCACACAGACTGTGAGCAGGAGGCCGTCCCACCCCTCTCTTAACAAAGTCTGCGTGTGTGTGACACACAATCAAAGACCCTCCTCAGGCTTCAGTTGTACGGCTTCGTTCCCACACTGAACAGGGAGCCACAGGACAGACCTTGTGCAAGTGGCAGCCAGGCCAGCCGGGCCACCATATGCTCAGCCCTGACATTGCCAGTGGCTGCCAGGAGAGGCTTCAAAATGAAACCCAAGGTCCAGTATGAAAACCAGTTTCAGGGCAGCTCCTGTATGGTGGGGCTGGGGAGGTAAAGGAACGGAATGAGCAGCCACGACAGCTTCTTACATATTTTTGTCTGTCCTGTTTATAGTGGCACAAAACTGTCCCCAGTGTATTTAGTGTTTGGGGGAGATTCACGTGGAGGTGTGAAGATATCAGGGTAATGACAAAAGCTCAGAGTAGTACACACCTAAATCCCCTTTTTGAAATTCACTTTGTAGGGACTTACCATGAACTTAAATTACTTGAGCTTTTTGCTTTAGTGTCCCATATTCTTTGACAGGAGGGTGCTCTACATAGCCGAGCAGCTTAAATCACAGCCCACTATTGCCAATATGCACGTTAAAGTGCTGGGTTTCTTGGAGCTGTGAGATAAGTTTGAATGTTTTCTTTCAGTCTCGTTGTGATGTTTAAGCCCTTTTAGTTGTACAGAACTTTCTTAGTCTCTGGAGCCCATAGTTTCTTTTTTTAGCAGCAGGAGGGGAAAAGGTATTTAAAGCAAGAGCTGAAACCTTATCATTATTGCAAGACTCAAGGAACCAGAAGATTAAAAAAAAAACAAAAAAAAAAACAAAACAAAAAACCACACTAGGAAAAAACCCATTGCTTTCAAGAAAATCACAGCAAGACAGCAATAATGCTGCTGTAACCCCCTGTCCCACAGAAGAGTCCAGTCTGATATGGAAGAACTATACAACTGACAGGAACTAACTTTGACCTGACACTTGGCAGAGGGTGAAAACTTTGAGAAAACAGACAGTGAAGCTGTTGCTTATGGCTGTTCACAGCATTATTTCAGCAGCTCTCAAAGCAATCACAGGAACAACCTCATGCTGCACCTTCCCCTGTTATTTACTTTCCCCCCATATACTCCTTCTCACTACAGCTGGAGGTAGAGCTGGTGCAGAAAGAGGAGAAGTTGCTGGAGACAGATTTTCTCTACAAGCATGTTTCCCAGCTTACAGACCGAATCTGTGCTGCAGCGGAGAAGGGGAAGCAGGACATGCTGCTGTTAGCAAAAAGGGTAAGAAGGGCATTGTACGCTGCGCTTGCTGGCCTGCACAAAATCAAATAATATCTGGGCAAGAGGTAAGATGACTCACTTGAAAATTACAAAAGCGGCTGGAAATTGTGGTAGGCAACTCATATGTTAGTCTTCAGAAATTATAGATGTTTAATAGTAAGGTTAATACATACTAAAAGCATTAGGTGAGCGTATTTTATTCTTGAAAGATGGTTGCGCCAGCAATGGTACTTTTCACCAAGATACAGGGTTAGTTCTTTCTCAAGTGGATGCTCAGAAACTTGGTAGAATCCTCCTTCTGCACGTGTACTTAACAGCCTTTCCACAACAAACATGCCAAAGGCTAAAAAGAAATAAGGAAAAGCCAGGTGAATTCAACTCCATCACACAAAAATATAAACTTGCTATCTGGCCCAAAGTTTCTTTGGTAGGAAGGACCACACAGGAAAGAAATGGCGTTTCCAGTTCAGTTACTTTTATATAATTACAGCTTTTTCCTTTTAACTGCCAGAAATACTGCTTGGGGAAGAGCAAAAATCCTCTCACCCCCACCTCCTTAATGAAGAGGCTCCAAGAAGAGCAGGTCTCCATAAAAGACAAAAAGAAAATAGCCAAGTACTTAAGGCCAGGGTTGATTTTTTTTCCTTAGCTATTAGGTTTGGTACACAGAAGAGCTTAAAACAAAACATATCTTTACAGTAAATCTTTAATTTTGCACAGACAGAGAAAGAATACGTGTGTTTGGGTTTGTGAAATCATGGCCATGGGGTAATAAACTACTGTAAAAATGGCAGCATGTCAAAAGCTACATTCACAAGTGCTCTGACTCTCCCAATTCCCTGTTAGCCACTTAAAAAAGAGTATTTTTTTGTTCGGGTTTATTTATTTCAATCATCCCAGTTAGACTCAAGAATTCCTGTTCTATTCCTTTTCTGTTCATCCCTCTGCCAAAGACAACTGCACAACCAGCAGCTCGACGGCATCCACATTATCACTCAATTATCTTATAAGGATCAGGCTTATTAATCCTTTATTATGAAGTTAATTGTGCATAAACTCAATGAGAATCAAGGCACCAGGCCTTTGAGGGCAGCAGGAGTTTTGCTCTTCAGCTGGAAAGGGTGGGAGGTAATTACAAACTTGCTTTTCTGTATTTGCTATTGAAATAATGCAACTTCTTACGCTGCCAACTTCTGTGCTTCCAAGCACACGCAGAAACACACGTCCTGTTTCATTAAGTCATTTTTGAGTGTGGAACTACTTTTTAAAACTTTGTCAAGTTGGACTTGTTTTCATGTACCTAATACTCACCTAAACCTCATGCCCAGCAAATATCTACAGGGAAGCCCTAACTAAAATGCAATTGTTACTTACTCTAGACAAGCAAACTGCAGAAGATGGTGAAGGACAGAACCCAGAAGATGATGGCTCTCGTTGCAGAGTTATCCATGCAGCAAGCACTTGCCATTAAACTCCAGCAGGAAATGAGAGACAAAGAACAATTTTTGATGACCATTTCATCGAGGGTAGATCAAGGTCTTCCCCCTCCCAAAGAAATAGAAAATCAGTGGTTGAAGACATTACGCAACGAGAAAATGCAAAAAGAAGCAGCTGAAGCCAGAGCTAAAGTAGGTTTTTGCCATGTGTTGTGATTAGTTCTTTAGCCTCGTGTTTCCACTGGTCTGGCTTGTCTTTCAGAAGAGCTGTGCTGGCTCCCTGTGCAGCTGTTTGCTGCAAAACACGGAGCTCCAGGAGCCGGGGAAGGTGACAGCACAGACAGAGACATCCACCGAAGTGGTACAGGGCAGGTTTGCAGAGTGACAGCCGTAGTCAGGTAACATTGCTTAGAACTGGTCACTGAATCTTATGCAGAAAATACAGTAAAAAGGAGGACTAATCGGTGTGACCACGTTTTGGGATGATGGGGAAGACAGCCATCAGTGAAGTAAAGCAGAGAAAGCTGCAAAAGGTGGGATGTAGGGTTCAGAAACTTAAGTTTAGTATTTTCCACATACCAGATGCAGTGAACATCACATCAGAAGCAGCAAGAAACCAGATGGGTGGGCAAGACACTGAGGGTAGGCAGGGTAACACATCAAACAGTGCTTCAAACTCTACCCTGCTGGATATTATGCCTCCTTAGATGAGACCACCAATGATCCCAGAGCAAAGAGCTCCCAGAAAAGAAAAAAAAAAATAGTCTACAAGTAAGATATGCATACCAAGGGAACTCTTGCTGATGGGAAATTAGCTTTGCTTTATGAAGCCTTTAGGTGATCACGCCAAAGGAATCTGAAAGGCGCACAAGGCTGGGAGAGGAAAGCACTGTGCAAATGCTTTAAGAACTTGAAGTCGTGTAGAACTGCTGCAGTAAAACTGGTTTAGAGCACATGAGCATATGAGCAAGCAATGTGTGCTCACAACCCAAACCATTCTATGATTTTATGAATAAGAAACTTTTCTGTCATTAACACTTCTCCTCATGCTGTGACTCAGTGCTGCAGCTGCAAACTCACTGCAGTAACTGCATTCAGGAACATTCAGTGTAAATACAGCCACATTTTGAAGCATCAGAACTATTATCTTGCTCCTGAGATGTTCTGTGCACGCTCGTTACCACTTTTAAAAGTTCATCTGATCTGTTTTCTTTACAAAAGCATTACAGGCTCAAATTGTATGCTAGTTAAAAGCACAAGCTCATCTATGTTGTCAATAACTCACGTTTTCCTTTTAATACCCCTCTGGGTTTCCTGGTTTGCTAAGGACTAGATCCATGGTGTTCCCTCTGTTAGCCATTCTGTACATTAGCTCAAGATTAAAGCAAATAATCACAAAGCGATCAAACTGCGTTTCTGTCACAGCATGCTGCAGAAGAGGAACAAGCTGCAGCACCCGGCTGCATCCACACGACAGGTGACCGACGCCCGAGCGTCTACATCCCTGACGACGAGTGCAGCCTCCCGCTGCCGCGGCCGTACGGCGCCCTGGCTCCTTTCAAACCAAGTGAACCTGGTTCAAACATGAGACATTTCAGAAAACCGATCGTAAAGCCAATTGAAGTCTGAACAGATGGCACCTGGAGCAGGAGAAGCCATTGCCAGTTGCTGAATCGCCAGGGTCAACAGCATCTACACCACACTGAAGGAATGTCCGTTAGCTTTTAGCCAAATTCCATATTTCAAACAAAGTAGGAGTTAATGCCAGAAGGACAGCTAAGTACGTCAGTGATCTAAGTTCCCTTCTCCTGGCTAGGAGCAGTCTGGTACCCCAAATGCAGTGCAGGATTTTAAAATGTTAAGAAAAATGAGTGAGCACCATACTACACTTTTCTTTTTTTACAGGTGAAGTTTTATTGTATCTGATTATATTTTATAATACATTCCATTAAAAAGGAAAAAGCTAGAAAATCATCTCTTGTTTCCATATAATACAAACAAAGTCCTCACTGCTCACACAACTACACCAACACAGCTTTCTGCAGTCTGGGATGGGGTGGGAGGTCATGCCTGCCAGGCACATTTTAATTATACTGAGAAATATATCTCTTCCCTCTGTGAAGTCACTGAAAAAGCTAAAACTCTCGCTCCACTGATGCCAATAGCAAGGGTACAATGATGAACCTGCCGAGCCACTCCTGGGAACTGGATCTTTTTATTTCACTGGTAAGAACATGAGGCATCAGTGGAAACTGCTCAGAGAGAATATCGGACATTGCTATTCAAAACCTCCAATATCTATCAAAATGTCAATGAGTTTCACTCATAGTTCAATAGTCTGAAACTTTAAGAGGTGTTTTTAAATCCAGTAAAGACTGCAGAAATCCTACATGTCAGAGCTTAGGGTTTTCCCTGCATAGCAAACCACTATTTCTATTTTAAATTAGTGTCACAGTTGAGAACATAAAAAAAACACCACTACAAAAGAACCCCACTTGTTCAGTTATATATAAATAAAAGTTGAAAATCAAGTAAAAACAAACTCCATAATATTTCTTTGAAGCTGAGGTTTGAACTGTAACCCTAAAAGTTTATAATTAACTCTGTCCAAGCCACCATTAAAGTAAACTCCCAAAGAATGTTTTTCTTATCCTGTATTGCTTACAAATTATACGTATCTTAAAAAACAAAACAAAACCTGGTCACATGCATTTTAACACAATTATATTTTGTGCTAATTACAAAACTGAACACATGAGAATCCAACTCCAAAGGCAGACGTAGCCTAAGACAACGCAGGATCACCACCAGGAATGAATACGTCATTACTGAAGCATTATATACAGAGGCCAATTCACCACTCATTATTCTTACCTGCTTTACATTAACACATCAAGAAATAATTTCATTAATCTAAGTGAGTAAAGTTACTAGTTTCTTGTTACTTTACAATACTTACCTTTATCAGGATCGTCTATCTTGTTAGAACAATTAACATTAATACTAATTTTCACAGCATGTTTCAATACCCACTGCAGTTCCACTTATTTGACCACTTCAATGTCAAACGATGAAACCACAGGTATCTTTCATCAGGAACCTGGCTTCGTGTCAGACAAATTTCTCTAGGGTTTATCTAGAAGTCAGTGATTTCAGCCTTAATACCTAAATTTTGAGTAGCTTATGTCAGTAACAGTGGCTATACAAAACTTGACATTTAAATTTCAAAAAACATAAAAAAAAGATTTGATTGCACACATATAAGTAATCACACTTTCTTCAGCAGCAGGTTATTTCAGGAATATTAGAGGCCCAAAAGCGTCATCGTGTGTTTGAGTGCTGTTTCCTCCACAAATCTTACATTAACATGATCTTGCTTTTCATGTGGAGACATGCCTAGAAAAACATAGTGAGAAAGTCAGTATTTACAAACCCAAAAGTTCCTTGTACCCTCAGTCCCACAGTCTATTACTGTAAGATAAGGTAAGAGATGGAAGTGGTGTTCTCATTTCCACATTTCCCATGGACAGTGCTCAGGGAAGCCATCTGGATGCTCACCCATGGCAAAAACCTGCCTGCTGGTGGGATATCATCATCATGGCTAGGCTTCGCGAATGAACATATGGGAAGGGCTCTACCCACACTTGCTACAAGCGCGCTGATGGCTAAAAAGGCCGATGCGGGATAGACAAGTCCGGTTGCAAAAGGCACAGCGGAAAGTCTCCTTAGGCGGTATTGGCGAGGCACGGATCAGCGCAGCCAAGCCAGAGATGGCGATGCACTCTCTGAGCCCTTCTCAATAACCAATGGTGTGAAACAAGGCTGCGTTCTCGCTCCTACTCTATCCACAATCTTCTTCAGCGTGATGCTCCAAAGGCCCACGGCAGACCTTGATGAAGATAACGGCATTTACATCCGCTATCGTACCGATGGCAACCTGTTCAACCTAAGGCGACTGAAGGACCCTAAATCACCTTGTCCTCGAGCTGCTCTTTGCTGACAACGCTGCTCTCGTTGCTCACACAGAAGCAGCTCTGCAGCGCTTAACATCCTGCTTTGCAGAGGCTGCTGAGCTTTTTGGGCTGGAAGTCAGCTTGAAGAAGACAGAAGTTCTTTACCAACCTGCACCTCAGGAAGTCTCCCATCATCCCCACATCACCAGAAATCAGAGCTTAAGTCAGCCCAGCAGTTCAACTACCTAGGAAGTATCATTTCCTCGGATGGCAAGATTGACAGAGACAACATATAAGGACATGACGAACCATCTACGGAGGCCTCTAGGGATTTCCACACTAATTCTACACTGCAGCTGTGTTAGTGCTAGTACATAAAATGGATCAGAGCATATTCTCATATACTTCTATGTGGTTTAACTCTTTTTCTGTCCCAAAGCAGATGATATCCTTTCATGGACAATCCTATTTCAGCCTTCAGGTCCTTTTTCCTGACTTCATTTTGCTTACTAGTACAAGCGAAGCCCGTAGCGCTAAACAGGACAATGCCTCCCTTCACGCACCTTGTTCTTTCAGTAGAATTCAAAACCCTTCCGATGCTTCACTGTATGAAGCGAGTGTGCTAACCAATTTGAACTGTATTTCAGTATTTCACAAACAGGAACAACTTGGAGATTAAAAAAACGCCTGTTACTTCAGGGAACTTCCTAATGTAGCGATGTCGGTGCTCTCTTCTGCGGAAGACCTGATTTGGGTTGCCTCTTAGCTACCACACTGTGTCAGTGAGGAAGAAATCCTTCTTCCCCTTGGAACAGAGTAACAGCTACCACCACGCTATACAAGAACCATGCACGTGCTCTGAAAAGTGCAAGTTTGCTAAGTGGATTCAACACATGGAGGATTTGGATGAAAGGATATGCAGCGAAGAAGCCCCCTGATAACCCACATCA